TATTTCCTTTTTTTTTTTTTTAATTATTTTATTTTTCCCTTCTATTTCTTCTCTTTCTTTTGTATTTTATTTTATGCTGTTGTGTGGGAGGAGTAGCACTTTGGGCAAAGGTGTTTTGCACAGATTTTACAAACCAGTGATGGAGCAGACACAAACTTGGAGGAATTCAACTCTGCTACTAAAGCAAATTTTGGCATCTTCAACTGTTGTGCAGATTGCTCTTGAAAAAGTTTTGGGGGAAAAGACTCATTTGAAAAAAGACCTGGCTGGCAGTAGCCCTTCAGAACTCTTTTTTTCCTACCATTAAATATGTATATTTATTTTGATTTATTCTCAAGAAGCACTTTATTTCCTTTTCCTTTCATAGATCACAAAAATGAAGCCATCTTATTATAAGAGGTGCAGCCATTCCAAGAAAGAAACCATGGGGGGACGGGAGTGTTGTTTTCTGTTTTGTTTTCATGTTTCTTTAAAGAAAAGAGGGATCCACCACAAAGTTGAATTGACTTAAATTTAGACTTGTGCAACATTCTTCTGCCTGTCTAGAAAGTCCAAGTGCCCAGGTTGCCTGTTGTGTTTGTATACACAAAAAAAAGAAAAAAAGGAAGACAAAAACAAAGCAAAACCTGTTGTGACTCAAACTCTGACTGCGTTTTAGGCAGCTTATGTTTGTCTTTATAGCCCATGTGCACTTAAAAGTTACTTTCTAAATTAGTCCCTTTTTTTTTTCACCAAATGCATTGAAGAAAATCCTACCCAAACAAACTGATTATTCAGTGTGAATCAGCTTGCTGCATTTTAAGAGTATATTAGTCTATTTTAGGTGGTTCCCAGTGCTCTTTAATAGTAACATAGATGATGCAAATGATTTGACTAATGATGCAAAAATTAGTTTTGCTGAGAATGGCTTTAATTATCAGGAGGCCCAGGATCTCTGACTTCTCCAGGAGAAGAGCATGAACCAGCAGGGATAAACAGTAAGGAGCATGGGCTACCATCTACACTTTTATTCCAAAAGGCAGCACAGCTGGGATTTCTGCTCCTAGGAAATGAGTGTCCTGGCATTGTGTTACCTGTTTTCAGAACCAGGATTTGGGTTTTCAGTTTAAGCGGACAAACTGCTTAAATGGCTGTTGGAAATGAATTAATTGATAGCCTGTGAATAATGTCTTACTGAGATGTCTTGGACTCTTAGAGATGTTTTTGGGTTCCAACCCAAGAATATACAGTGAACTCACCCAGATTTCCCCCTTCCCCAACTGCTATTTTAAGATTTTAGATCTCAAAAAAAGTTAACTTAAATCAGATCAATGCTACACAAAGTGAACATCCAGTTTACCTCCTACTGTGCAGATGGCACTTTGATGGTGGCCACTTCGACTTCTCTCCTCCAGCCCCCAGATCAACTACTTCCTTTGGCCATCGGCTTTTGGTTCTCACATGAGAGAATATTGTGAGGACCTAGTTCAATGCAAGGACTCTGTAAACAAACAGCTTTCTTGCATTGTAGTTAACCTCCCCACTCTCCCTCCCTCTTCTCCTTTCTCACTCAGGCCATCCATTTGTGATTGCTCGGTAGTGCAGACGTTCAAACAGAGCAGCAGGATGTCAATGTTGTATTGAGTGTCCATATGATTGCCACTTTGTTTGATGTACATCTTGCGTTCATATGCACGGAAAGTGCTCGTTTGCACTTTCCTCCTCTCCCTTCCCTTCCCCTTCCTCCTTTGCTGTATATATTGTCGATTAACTACTGTACCTAACAATTTCCATCCTCCATTAGGCTGCCAATGTCCTCTTACAGTCCCCAATAAATCAGAGATATGTGCTCCCCAGCGGGCAATGCAGTAAGTAGCACAGCCTCAGACGCTGACGAATGCAAGGGGACAGGTAGGCCTGCAGAAGCGACAGAGGTGGTTGTGTTCAGAATAACAATGTTGTCCTAAGGCTGCTAATTTTTACAGAGGTTGTGGACATTTGGGTTCTTCTTGAGCCTGGTAAGAAACACTGGACCAGTTGATGGTAGTTTTGCCCAAAGATATACTACTTGGGGGTTTTTTCACCTTTGCTAGACTTGCTGTGACAGCAAGAGCCCGATCTTCCTTACACTCAAGTTTTATTGTCAGACTTGAGTACGGCTCCTTCTTTTCGTTCTGTGTCGAGACCTTTGCAGTCTGTGTTCACCCAGGAACCCAGCCCTTCCCCACTCATGCAGTATTCACGTGCCAAATTTGTGCAATACCTTTTGCCTTCAATGCGAGATGCTTATTGCAAACCACACACGTTCAGGGAGGAAAAAAATGGGTTCACAACAAAAAATTGAAGAAGCAAAACGAATCTTAAGGGAAGAGAAAAAGGGCCTGAATGCAGAGAAGGTGTGAGCACAGAGGCGGAAAGCAGCTGCCATCCATCATGCCGTGGAGCCAGCAGCTCCTTCGTTTGTGGTCTTGTGTGCCTGTATGCTCAAGCTGTGGTACAGCCTTTGTAGACCATCCACAAGCCTTATAAAACTGGCTGCTTCCAGCACTGTCAGCAGTCCTGGTGTGCTCACCGCTGTTGTCCACAGCACTTTATTGTTTCCTATTCTGGTGGTTGCTCTCCAAGGACAGACAGGCACAGGGAAAAGAAAAATTGTTTAAACATAGCAACATTTACATAGTAAACAAACTAGGTGACAGAAATGTGCAGCAATTTATTTAAAAAAAAAAATCTTATGAAATTGATTTGATTTGCTGGTTTTTTTGGTTTTTGGCTTGAAACCAGGTAGTTGGTACTGATCTTCTGCAACAAAGGGAGACCCATCTTCTCTAGTTGGTCTGCCCCTCTGCCTGTCACAACAATAAAACAAAAACTAATTTCCTGCCATGGCAGCTCCAGTTTTGCTCCTTTTCCTGATAACATGAACACTTCTGTGATGATTATTTTCTTCCACACCTGCTCACAGAGTTGGAAGGCTTTTGCTGAACATATCTTGTGTGGAGGATTCGGGTACCAGGTGATGCAGCAGGGCAGAAAGGAACCATGGAATGCTTGCCCTGCCTTTGCTAGTCCTGCAGCAGGACAGGGCTCTCTGCTGGGGTCCCAGCCAGCTGCTCCATTGGCTCCTTGGCCACATCCCCCCTCCAGCCATCACCAAGAAAGGCTTTTCTCGGGTGGCTCTTTATGGCTACCACAACAGGGGAAGCAGTCCAGGCTGTCTTCTCCGTTTTGGCCTTTTTCTGTGAACCTTCAGTAACCTCTAAGCCCATCAGTAGATTTTTCTTTGGGTTTACCATTTAAGGGCTTTCTTCCGTCTTCGTAAGTTTAAACAAAAATGTGAAGTGACATTATGCTTGATCTTAGGGGGTTTGTCCCCTTTTAAGGTTTCAGTACTGCTTTTGTTGCCAGACACACTGCAAATGGATAACAACAGTCGCCTGTTTGCAAGTGTTCTGTGGCCACTCTGAAAGGGGGTTGTGTGATTCACTTTTTGGTTTCACTGAGTAGGCTTTTTTTGTTGTTGTTCTTTTTAATGGAAGTATTTTACTTAACTGTTGCCACTTCCTGGAGCCAAACACTTTATTGGTCACCAAATTGGAAGCAGAAGTGCCATTAACTGAACTCTGTGAATGTCAAGTCAAGTTGCGCCTGTAGCTGGCACATAAGACAACACTAGTAAGTGGGGGGACAATCTCCCTCACTGCAACTTTTTTTTAATTATTTTATTTTTTAAGAAAAAAAATAAAATTACAAACCTCATTTTAAATGTATTGTGTAAAATGTTTCAGGAAAGGAGTACGGTGTGTTTTGTCTAGTGGGCGAGATCTCCCTCCCCATTTCAGTTTCTGATGAAGTTTTAAAGAATCGTGTTACTGTATGTTTTGATCATGAATAGTCTGGTGGTGCTTCCTCATAGCACAAGCTTAAATCAAGTACTGAAAACAGTCTTACAAGCTAAATGTCTGCATGATGTTACATCTGTTGTACCTACTGAGAAGAACTTTGTATGTAAATGTACAGAATAAAATGACATTGTCCCATCAGTTTGCTCTCCTTGGTCTGGCTACCTCACAGTGACTTCTGAAACACCCAGCAGGAGCTGACGCCTCAGCAAACAGTCCTACCCTCCTCTACAAGCAAAACGAGCTAATTGTAAATCAGGCTAATTAAACTAGCACATTGATTTACAACTAATTATCAATATAGTCCATTACAGAAGAGTAGTTGACTCTTTGCTGAGTGGTGTAAATTAAAAAGAAAATACCCTCCAACAGTTGCTTTTTGCAATTCTGATCCTGAACTGCGGCCAAAGACGGACAGCTGTTCCCACCAGGTAAGGAGGAGCTTTCTGTGCCCACATCAAATATAACATGTTGAAGCCACTGGCTTCAAATTCACTGGCTTCAACTTCAAATCCTTTTGGACAAGAGACTCAGTAGCAGTTTTGCCTTCTACATCAGCGACCTCTCGGTTACAGTTTTTAATTGCTGATTATGGCACCACAGCAAGGTAAATTCATCAGTTTTCTGCAGGGGGTTAGGATAGCTGTCTAGAAGCAGCACTAGTAAATTTTGTTTGTATCAAAAGCTTATGTTTGAGCAACGGCTCAACTTGCAATGGAAAAAAAATAATAACCTGGATGGTTAACTCCTAGCTGCCCTCTCATTAAACAAAATAACCCATGGATCTGCCTTTGAAAGGATTCCCATCCTACCTAAAAGCATGTCCAGAGAAGTGCAGGATACTTTGCAGTGGTGGTGATGGTAATGGACTGCTCTGATTTTTCTAATGTATATGCTTGATTTACACATGGTGTGCTCTTCTAGTAGCCTGACAGATTTATCTATTGCTCTAGAATTCAAACTACTTTTTCCTTCTGCATAGTCCTCAGGGATGGACAAATAACACTTTATGAAACCCTTCTAGTGTTCTTAATACCCAAGGGACAGAAGGAAATCCCGTGTTTAGCACTAGTACTACAACCAACAGGGGCTAAAAGGAGAAAAGCAACACGTCACAGCTTTACAATATAAAAATGAGGGATTTCTTTATTTGAACACTAAAAGCTGCTCTACTGTATTCAGTGCTAGTACACAGTAGATTAACTGTACAGATATATTTTGGAACTGATTTTCCAGCAGATCCCAGTACTGCATGGAGGCCAGACACTGCATGCATTTGTACAATGATCTTCATCAATTGTAGCATCCATTTGCTATCCTACTTAACAGGGTAGCAAAAAAATTTTGCTTTGAAATTTCAAATTCAAATGTTATATTCCAGGTCCAATTGTATCTATGTCCATCTATATTTAATAACAACCACAAATGCAATCAAAATAATACAAAACAAATATACTAATTTAATGTCAGTGTGAAAATTTCAATCAGTTTTTCTGAAAAAATTCATCTTATTTTACAATGATGCAAAGTCAGAACTTCTCTGGAAAAGCCATCATTTCTTCTTTGATCCTGTTTTCTATGAGTAAGGTGAAATTGCTGTCTGTGTTTTGAAGATTGTAGCTGACAAATATCTGTTTTTTGGTCTTGCTGGCTAAAATACAAAACAGAGTAGTCAGCCATATTTTGTTCTTATATAAAAGTGATAATAGCATTCAAGCAAGCCTCTTAAAAAGCCATATTGTGCAGATTTCTAAGATGATGTTCTCCACTCCTCCTGTGCTGGTTGCAGTTATTAAGGAACAGCAGAACAATTACCCTGACCATTGGCATGTTGGGCAGAACTTTGCACATCACTGATAGAAGCAATATAAAACCGGTGACTATCAACTAATTTTTGACCTGATGCAAAAAAGCCATTAGTCGCTGGAAAGCCTTGCAGGGCTTTTAGTGGATTTTCTGGATGCTTCCTAAATATACTATTTTAAGTGAAATTACAGACTGTACTGGAGTCAGCACTGAAATAAAGTTTATGAGTTGGGAAGTCTATGCTGTGTAAAACATTAACAGAGGGAAAGCGCACAAGAAAATGATTGAGCCCCAATTAACCAAGTTCCAAAGCTAACCTTTGTGAAGGTTGTAAGCACCATACAGGAAAAACAGGCACTAAATTTAAATTTAGTGCAATTGGGCAGGATGGTGAGAAACAGTCTGTGCACCTCATACAAGCAAATATAGATAGAAATATGTATTAAGAGAAATAGGAATGAGGCATCTGTGTCTTTAGCAATAGAATTTTTTTAATTGTGTTAAATAGAAGACAAAACCCAATATTTGGGTCATGAGATATTCTTTTGAGGGAATGAGCTGGGAGCTGATGATCCTAGAGGCAAATCAAACTGTTCTGCTTGAATATTCAAAAATATCATCTGAGTTTTTAAAACTTGAAAATAGAAACACCAGGACTCCTAATGTCTTGATCCTTTCTAAATAGGAAAGTTAACTACAGAAAATATAGATATATATGTGTGTATAAAGTGTAACTGAACAATTCCTTGAGGCATTTTCATTATGCAAATCAATTTATTATTTTTCTATTCTAACAGGTTGCCAGCTTCCTGTCTCTGTCTCAGAAAGTAGAGCTGCTTCTGAAATGCAAGGACTAGTTTGCCTTTTAAAACTTGGCACTACAAAATGCTGATATAATGCAGCGTGTTGCTCTGACTGCAAAAATTAGCACCTGGCACTAGATTTTTGTGGTATAAAGCAGCATATTTTGTAAGTGCTAGTGCTTCATCATCATGCCCTGAATGAATGCAATGCTAATTCTGAACTAATTAATACCATTATCCTAGCTAATGAAACTATACAGTATACTGCAGTGTCAAAACTCAACTTCTTAATTATGCTTGCCTAAGGTCCAGTAGCATCTCCAGGATGGTGTTCCAGATCCCAGGAACACTGTGAATCCCTTAGGGTCACCTGTGCCAAGGACATCTGCTCCTACCACTGTGCCCCGGCTCTGAGGGGCAGTGGGACCTTTTTGGTCCCTGCTTCCTGCAGATTAGGTTGGACATGTGAACTCTTGTGGGAAGGACATAAGTGGAAAGATCTTATGGCTCCATGGAAGACCATCTGCAACCTCAGAGTAAAGCTGAAAACTGTAAAAGACTAGGCTTACCTAAAAAGCCCTCCAGTAGGTCTGCTTCCCATGCAGCCTGGTTAATAACCCGTGTTGCACCAGCTCTTCAAAGTGGAGGAAAATATTCCTCGGCGGCCATCATCTGGGACATGCTGAGTGCCAGGAGAAACTTTAGCAGCGCAGACAAACCCACTCCTACAACCCCATGTACAGGGCAAAGGCCCAAATCTAAGCTTGAAAAGAAGCTCAGTGGGAGCAGAACAGACAGGAGAAGTGTTGGGCATAAGTTTGTAGACTGTTCATGCTGGAAAAGAGATGGTGGAAGGGAACTGTGCCTGGATGATAAATACTCAAGGAAGAGTTGAGGTGATCTTCACCAAGAATCTGCCAGTCCCTACAGAGGGAAGATGAAGATGTGGCACTAATCAGTAGTCACTTCAGCCCAAAGCACTGTGATTTCAGGATATGCAGGTAAGGGAGACACCAGTGGGCAAGCCATCCTCAAGAACTGGCCACCACTAACCTACAGGGAACAGTCTTTTAGGATCTGGGTTTCTTGACTAGTGAGACACATCTTGTGCCAGAGCAATTGGGCAGGATGGTGAGAAACAGTCCCTGCACCTCATACAAGCAGATATAGATAGAAATATGTATAAAGAGAAATAGGAATGAGGCATGTGCGTCTTTAGCAATAGAATTAAAAAAAAAAAAAAATCAGAAATAAGGAAGAAGATAGAGCCAATACACCGAATGCAGCTGTTGTAGCTAGGACACCTTCCAGGCTATAAAGAAGAGGAGAATGTGTACACTGATGCAAAGCAGCACTATAACTCCTGCTCCAGGGAAGGAAACCTGACACTGCAGGAACACATGGTAGATGATGGAATGCAACTGGCAAGTATAAGAAATGAAAATTCTTACGTGCAAATAGCATTGCATGCTACTTCACTAAGAGCCTGTGAAGAAGACCAGAATGGAAATTACATGGAAAAAACAGTGACAAGCATGGGAAGGCAGGGGGATTTAGTGTTAGGGGGAGAGGGATACTGCCTGCCTGAAGATTACCACATGGCAGGATGGTTAAAAAAATACCTTGGAAGTACAGCTACAAGACTGTCAGACTATGAATATCATCTCTGTTATTACAGAATTTGTGGGAGAAACAAGGGTTTAATTTCCCAGATAAAAACAACACCAGTGGTATTTCTAGCCAAGGTGAAAAATAGATTTTCTTACCAAGCACTTTGTGAAACAAAGACACAGGGATGCTTGTTGATCAACTGGTTTCAGGATAATAAATAAATAAATAATAGTTTTGGACTAAATGACCGTGAGTTCACTTAAATTGCTGGACTGACAAAAGCCAGCCAAAATACCAAGGTGTAGGATTTCAGAAAGATGTGTTTATTTTCTCAGAAGCCAGTTACACTCAGGTAAAAAGGAAACACAGAATTATTCAAAGCCAGAAGTGTATTATTGACTTTCCCCTACAGGGAAAAGGTCTACAGGCCTTCCTCAATACAGCATACCTTAAGCAGGATCACACAAACAAGAACAGTATCTATAAGGAAATCTGAAACCCAGTGGATAAATGGCATGGATAGAGAGGACCAAAAAAGCCTAGCTGGGCCACAGCTGGTACAGGAAGTTTAAGATGAAATAACAAAAGACAGGGCACACAAACAAAAAATAAATAGGAAGGTGCCTTACACTCCTAGGATAAATAGTAACCTATAGCCCAGTACCAAGCAACAGTATCAGTGCTCAGTCACAAAGTATGGGAAATTAGCAATGGAAATAATAAAAGCACCTTAAGAAAAAAAAAAATTATTAAAAAAGAAGGGGAAAAAGGCAGCAAAACTGAAACTACTACTGGGAGAAAAATCAAGTTACTCAGCCTGTGTCCTAAAACACTGAAAGAATTAATGTAAGAAATGGCAAGTTATTACAAACTTTAGCTATGAAATCTGTAATAAATCTTTTAAGAGAGAAGTTAGCAACCACACATACAAAAAAAGGACAGGAGAGAGTGGGAATCACAGTAACGACTTAGAACTGTCAGCTGGGCTCCAGTGCTACACAGAAATTTAGAGCAAGATTCAGAAGAAATTAGTGACAAAGACTAAATGGAAAGTAGAATAAGCTATTATACTTTATCCAAAGTAAATCCTCTCTGACTACATTTTTACTAACTGACTTCTAAGGATAAGGCACTAATTACATATAAAGAATTTATGTTATACAGTACCCCATAAAATTATTACTTAAAATGGAAATGACTGAACCCAGTGAGTAGAGAAAATGCTGCCACCAGGGTAGCCTAAAAGAGTATTTATTAAAAGAGAAGGTATTGGAAAGAAGAAAAGGCCCCTATACTGTTTTTTAAAGATCATTCTTGTGAGCAACCCCTTTTTATATGTGCATTAGTGGCCATAGAGGAGAAGAAGGTGGAGACCCGTGGAAGGGCCTGATGATACAAACTCAGGACACACTGCCTGAAACGGAGATCAGCACACAGATCATTAATAATTCTGTAGCCTTTCCAACTGAAGTTGTAAGGTAAGAGTGTGCAGCTCAGCATGTTGCTTTTAAAACCTGGTAACAAGTACATCAGCAGTTCACCAGCTGGAGCAGCATCAGCTACTGGTAAGTGATGATGAGTTACCAGCAGGATGGAGTTGTCAGAGCTGTGAAGGTGCTAGGATGCATCAGGCCATGTATTTTTATACTTTTTAGTACTGATACAGGAGCTTGAAAGTCATCACTAAGACTCAGAATCCAGCTACGTTGGCACTGAAAACGTGATGGAAAAGGAGACATCCCAAGCGGTGCCCATTAGGATTAGTCAGATTAAGCATGAGCATTTGTGAGATGACCATGGACTTCCCAGGTCAGAACTCCTGGGAATGTGGGGGCTAAAAGGTGCAAGATGTGATGCAGTTTGGCTTCATCTTCAGGGAAAGTGCATGTGCCTTGCATGATGGCCACCTCACTCACAGCACAGCAGTGTCACAGGTTTATCATCACCATCAAATGATTTGGGTTGGAAGGGGCATTAGAGATCATTTAGTTCCAAGCCCCTGCCACGGGCAGGGACACCTTTCACTAGACCAGGTTGCTCAAAGCCCCATCTAACCTGGTCTTGAACACTTCCAGGGATAGGGAATCCACAACTTCCCTGTTCCAGCACCTCACCACCCTCACAGTTAAGAATTTTCCCTAATACCTACTCTAAATCTACTCTCTTTCAATTTGAACCCATTCCCCCTTGTCCTGTCACTACATGCTCTTGTACATGGTCTTGCCCTATCTTTCCTGTAAGTTCCTTTCAGGTACTGGAAGGCTGCAGTTCAGAAACCCTGAAGTTTTCTCTTTTCCAGGGTGAATAATCCCATTTCTCCTAGCCTTGAACAGAGTTCAAACAGGGAGGAGGTGACTGGAAACCCCACTTAACAGGTGCAGTGTGTGCTGCCCCTGCCTCGCACCCAAAGCGAGGGTAAGGATATTAAATAATTCACTTTTGACAGTGCACAGTGTGCCCAAGGCCGCTGATCCAGGTGCCGCAGGCTCGGACAGGGATGATAAAAATAAAAAAAAGTGAATCTGTGGACTGGATGGAAACTGCTGCAACCTGCAGCGGTGGAGGCTCTGCAAGGGGGGCAGCACGGACCGCATCCCTCTACGCCCACCCAGCCCAGGCTGGTGGCCCGGGGCCACCACATTCGGGTCCCCCCCCCCGCGCGTTCCCGGCGAGAGGCGGCCCCTCCGCCCGCCCCGCCCGGGGCCCGCAGCCGCCGCCCCCGCACCTACCCAAGCGCTGCGCCAGGCAGGAGGAGGCGGTGTCGGAAGGGTCCCCCAGGAGCGAGGCGGCCACTGGGATGCTGTCCTGCAAGCGGAGCAGAGCAGAGGGCACGGCTTAGGGGACTAAGCAGCGCGCGTCGGGAGCGCCGGGGCCACCCCCCACGGCCGCGACACTCACACGGGGGCTGCACATGGCCACGGCCAGGCTGGCGAGGGCGGGCGCGGCGCCCACCCAGAGGAAGAGCGAGTCCCGCAGCCGCATGGCGTGGAAGTGCACCCGCTGCTCGCCCAGCTGCCCGCTGAAGTCGTGCAGGGCGATGCCGCCCCCCGCCGCCCCGCCGCCGCCCGCCGCCTCCATCGGCCCTGCTCCCGGCGCCGCCAGGCCCGAGCACGCAAGGCCCGAGCGGGCGGCCTGGCTCGGCTCGGCCCGCCCCGCGGCCCCGGGGAGGCGGCGCTCCGCTCTGCTCCGCTCCGCTGTGCCCGCCCCGCCCGGCGGGGCCGCCCCCGGCACCGCGCAGCCGCCCGCCCCGGCCGGCACCCGGCGGGATGCCGCTCCCCCGCCTCCCACGGGGAATAGCCGAGCGCACGCAGGGATCGGTACCCGCATCCCGCTCCGTGCACGGCCCCTCCCCGGGCCGCCCCTCCGCCGGTGCACAGACCCCGGCTAGAGCCCTCCGGGAACGCGCCTCGCCGGCACCCCCACCCCTTGAAGTGCGCGCTGCCCCCGGTGGGTGCACAGCCCTCCGTGTACCACCGCACCCCCGCCGAAAGACACAGCCTTCTCCCGGTGTGCAGGCACACACAGCCCCACTGCTGTGGGGCTCACACACACACACCCCCTCCGTACACGGCTTACCCGCGGCTCACAGCTCCCCGGGCGGTGCCCCCTGCCCGCCGGGGATCGGGATGCAGGCGGAGGCAGCCGCAGGGATGGGGAAACCCCACTAGATGGCAGGTGAACCCCTGCATGCGGAGGCGCACCGGGTGGCAACCGGGGCTTTGGAGAGTCACCCGAGAGGAGTCCCGGGGTTTCAGACTAAAGGAAGGGGGTTGGCGTGGTGCTGTGTAGCCTCTGGGAAGGGGAGGAGGAAGGTCACGGCGACCTTGGCTTCAATCAGTTGTGGAGATTTTCAGGGCTGTGGGAGACTACAAAGCAAACCAGTCGGGTTTGCGGAGCTCCAGAGAATATGGAACCATGAATAATGAAAAGCCCTGCTCTGGGTATGAATTTTGTGCTCACCGCACTTTCAGCTGGAGCACAGCTAAGTCGGTCATTACTGGAAAGGATTTTCTCTAAACTGTACCGTCTGTTGCTGATAAGAATATTGTTGACTCCCTGATGGCCGTGGGCCCTCTACAATGGGAATCATGTATCTTAATGCCACGGGCACAGATCATCTCTGCATAAAGCACATGCAAGTTAATGGTACAGATTGGCTTTTTAATCAGCATTTTCTCTGTCTCCAATTTCCTACATGCAGCTAGAAATCAAAATTTTCATTTCCAAGTGCTAAGACTTCATTTTCCCGTTGAAGAAATGGGGGGAGGGAAAGGAACTGCTCATCACTCTTCTTCCTCGAGCCGCTCCAGTTCTCCTGGCATCTGCCAAAAGACAAAATCCTCGGCCCTGCTAATATCTGCCCATGCTGCCGCATCAACACTAAATCCCGGGAGGCAGCTAAGCCCAGCTCAGCTGCCATACCCCGACATCTCATAGCACAGGATCAGCTTGGAGAGAGGGGGGCTGCAGGCCACCTCCCCTGCCCTACATTTGTCATTTGCTGCTTGCAAAAAGCTGCTTGCAATTATGGGATGTATGGTGTCAGACTCCTGCTATGTCTTTCCGCCCTTGCTGCTGAGGCAGCATCAGGCTTGTGCTGTTACCCATCTCTCCCCCATGCTCCTACCCCACTGCCAGTCCCAACTCTTTGCCTTGGCATGGGTTGGCCTTCCGCAAGATGAGGTAGTGCAGAAGTAGAGGCTTGTGCTGGGGCTCGAAAATCAGCTCTCCCTGTCCCATCAGCCTGTTGCAAACTGACGCTTCACCTGTGCCAGCTGTGAAACCAGGCAGGCAAATTAAGTGACAAAAGCCACCTTGGAAGGGATTGAGTGCTGGCTGCATGCACCAAACACTTCCCTCTCTCTGCTTGTTGCAGCTACAGGTTCGCTCTGCATATAGTGGGTGGGTAGGGCCGCCAGCAAAAACAGCAAAAACTATCACAGTCCAGGAACACTGCAGGAATAAGAATCTAGGTGCTGGATAAAATGTCTGGTGGGAGCCACCCAGGTGGTGGTGGTGAGATTCCTGTGATTAGACACCTGCAGGTGGTGGAGATTTGCCCCAGGCACGCTTGATCAGGGGAGAGAAGAGGAAATATTAGGGCACAGTTCAGCTGAGCTGCTTTAGGTCTGTCTTTTGAGTGAGAAGCAACATCTCTTGACTGTTTTGCATTGACTCCAAAGGGGGTGAAAGGTAAGTTGTTGCACAGCTTTGCAGACAGATTTATTCATATACGCAAATCCTTCTTTAAGTGTTCAGGGCCAGTTTCTCTGCTATGCAGGGATAGAGTTGGCTTCTGCAGTTAAGCCCTAGTGGAGGATCTGTTCTAGCAAAGTTTCAACCCAGTGTGTCTCTTCCCACCAAGCAGAATTTTTGGCCTCCTTGTGTGCTAATCCTATGTTTAAGTCATCTGCTAAACTGAAGTAAGAGTAGTCTGATTTCTTCCCTTGTCTTTCCACATCAAGTACAAATTTCTTATTTTTCTTCCAAGGCTGTCTACAGTCTTGCTTTTCCCTATGAGGAGCTGCTCCTATTTCATCACACTATGATCTGTTCCTCTTCTCATCAGGAGTTTTCTCCAAAGCAGTTATAACTTCCTTCTGTATCATAAGCTTTGCAGACCTCTAGAAGTAAGTCACAGAGCTCCTCTGCACATAAGCAGTTCTATGTATTTAATGCTTTTCTGTGAAATGCAGCTGCTCTCCATAAATCATGCTGAATTCTTCTTTGAGCTCAAAAGAGGAAAAACATCTAGCAAGTGAATGCTGGTTAAGCATTTTTATTTGCAATGCAGGTGTGAAGAATGAGTGGAGCTGTGCAGAACCAGACCATCAAGTGTGAAATTAATTTCTTGATTACAGCACTGCAAGGTCATCAGAGGCCCTGCAAAATGAGAGGGAACAGCATTCTCTAACTGAGTGTGGGAGCCCTTGCATTTCCTTCAACATGCTCATCTTTTTTTCTGTGGCCCTGAAAGCAGCACCTGTAAGTCTGCCATGTTTGTCAGGTCTGGAGGCTAGAATGAGTCTCAGCTGCAGTGAGACACTGGAGAGCAAACTAATGACCTTAGCAAAAACACTGCATGTGTATATAGATGTGTATATATGTTGCTGCTCAGGTGAGATCCAAGCCCCAGGAAATGTGATGTAAAGGTATGTACTTCTATGCTCCTTGTTCTCCGAAAGTTAGATTGCCCATGAGAGTCATTAGATCCTAAACTGTCATTTTTACTGACCATGGTCTCCCCTCCAGTACAGTTTTAAGTCAGGAGTAAATGTTGCTGGTAACCATGGAGTTAAAGAGACGTAAAGCACATAGTTACAGACTGGGATATCCTTGAGAGAAGCAAATTTTTCTGATTCCAAAATGCATTCTGTGTTTTGGCTGCTGCGTGAATAAAACGTGAATTTAACATGTGAGAAGGCAGTTGACCGTTAGTTTGCATCAGTGAGCCTCCTATTAATGCCTCATGATGTGATAATTTTCTTGATTTATTGTCCTTTTTTGCAGAGGAGTAAATGACTGCTCAATAAAGCCAAACAAAACCTCCCACCTGCTCTGGTAAAGCTTCATGGTACCAGGCTGCTGCAGCACTAGTGCTGCAGTTCCAGACTTTCAGAGGCCTACTTCATTTGAGACTTGGAGTATCATTTTATGTAGACTTCCATCACTGGCTGAAGGGGTCCTCTTCTCTCCCTGTGCCAGTGGAGCACCTGAAGAACTGGAAAAAATACTTCCCTTTTTTGTCATCGTTGGATTGTTTTTCTCAGCTAGATCTGATGTAGCTCGCTGTGCCACTGCTCAAATACTTGTGCTGGCACCATGGAGGGCATAATCAGACAGGCAAGAAAGGGAGAAGTCTCTCTGCTTACACTTTACAGTCACCATGGTTGTGATGCTGTGGCTATCTAGACCAATCTAAGATGGAACTGACCAAGTCCTTCTTTCTAGTGCTCGTTTAATATGATGATTAGTCAGTTAAGGTAACCAAACTGGTCAAAACCTTTTCCTGGGATCCTGGCTTGAGCCGTTAGTTTAGATGCAATAGGAAATTGCTCCTGAAACATCTAACCATGGCTAAAGGGGTAACCTGAGGACTCAAAACAGTTTGTCAAGTGTTGATCAGTCTGACTTAAGGTCCCAGAAAAGAGATAGAAAGATAATCCAGGCTGGACCTTTTGAAAGAGTTGCAGAGAACAGAGGAATCACACTTGGGAACTTGTATGAAAATCACAGTTTAAGAAATTTGCAAGAGGACTGCACTGAATTCATGCTATGAATCTCACAATCCAGAGTAATATCAAGGCTAGGTCCCCCTCAAAAAAACAATCAAACAAAAAAATCCCACACAAACAAACAGAAAACCCCTCATGTCTGGAAACCACCAGTAAGCAAATACAAAATGTAGATGTATAAACAATTCCACATCTTCCATAGCTACTCTGACAGTGTTAGTAGAACTGTTAAAATAGATCCTTCATGCACCTGTTGGTTGGTACCTAGGCAGGCATTGCTCCAAGAAAATTCAGTTCCTGATTTCCAAAAGAATAGGGGTACCAGTTTCCAGCTTTTTTTTTTTTGCCTTTTTTGGTTTTTTTTTTTTTTTTTTTGGTGGAATTTGTAACCTCAGCTGTTAGGATTTCCCTGCAGATGGGATGAGGCCTGGAATGCACCTGGTGCAGTGATTCACTGCCTCTTGAGATCACTTTGCACAGTGTGTTTGACTAGAAATCAAGAAATCATAGCTGTTCGGTTTTGTACCCAACTGACATGGTGGCAAATCTGTTCTACTCTGCTTTATTTAATTCCTCTGCAAACTGGAAGAGCACAATAACCATTGCCTATCTCCCTGCAGCTGAATAGAACTCTGTATAATGCACAGCTCGTAAGGACCTTTGTGAATCCAGCCTAAATTCCTGCTATTATCAAATCAGGCAGTTTCCTTTTATTGTCATATGAGTCATTGGAGGAACTTGTCTTTGATCTGTTGGAGCATTTGAGACATGTGTGTTCATAGCTCTGGACAGGAGGCACTAACACAGAGTGACTCATCGTTCCCCTCAGGGACAAGAAGAGGTTTATGCAGCCGACTGGAAATCATATTTTATATGCAGATAGACCACTTCATGGTGGAGAATCCCCAAGCAGCTCGCCAACACCGACTC